AGCCCCATCCATCCTCCCCATCCGTCCCCCCTCCTCATCCTCCTCACAATAATCCGGGTCCACACCAAGTAACTCCCCATCCTCATCCGTCCTCAAGAACCCAAACAAGCTACTCAACTCCTGCATACTCAACTCCTTTCGTTTCACCACCGACAGATCATCATCCACGACCGCACGGAGGTCCTTCAGTTTCTGATCCTGTCGCGAGAGCATCCGCATGTCGACCGAGTTCTTGACCACGATGCGTGTCATGTGTGTTTCTTTTTCTTGGCCGATGCGGAAGATGCGACCGAATGCTTGTTGTTCGACGCCGAAGTTCCACCAGAGGTCCATGGAGATTACGCGGTTGGCGGAGGTTAGGTTGAGGCTGTGTAGTCTTCTCGTCAGCTCCAAGTAGAATTGAGGTGAATGATCCACCCTTCCTCACACAATGAAGCATCCTGATAGAGTGAGGAAAGGGGAAGGAGAAGGAAAGAGAGATAACATACCCAAGACCACCACACTTCAACCCCGCAATCATAATAACAATCTCGGGATTCGTCTTGAATTGCTCCTCGGCTAACGCGCGGTGCTCCATCGAGATATCGCCGGTGTAGTAGACGAATTTCCATTTTTCTTGGTTGCACATCCGGCCGATGATTCGTTGGAGTTGGCGGAATTGGCAGTAGATGACGACCTGGTTGTCATATATTAGTATCTTTCGACTTTGGAATAGCTGGCTTTCTCATTGTGTCAGGGAGATGGAATAATGGTGCTTCGGGGTTCCAGATGCCTCGCGTAATGAGGTGTTGGATTAATAGCGAAGAAGAAAAGCAACAGACTCTCCCGCTTCCAAAAAAGACTTCAAAAAGGAGTCAAAATAGAAGAAAGTCAAGAAGGAAAAAACAAACAAACCTTATCCATAGGCGCCTCCTCAAACCCCCTCAACAAAATCCTCTTCAAAGCAGTAACCTTCGCACTACTCGTAAGCGGAAAATTCGGATCCTCATCACTCTGCGTCAACCACGACGAATACGGGGTATACATCTCAAAACCAAACGCATCTCTACCCTTACTATTCTCCGGCACCCGGTTCTTGCCCCGTCGACGGGTGGAATTGTAGGCTTGTCGTGGGGTGAGTTGCGAGGTGGGTAGGGGTGTGGGCTCGGATTCGAAGGTGTAGTCTTCGTCGTCGAGGCCGCGGAGGGGCGTTGCGGTTGTGTAGATTAGGGCGCAGGAGGGACAGGTTTTTACCTGGTGAGGAGGTGTGTTAGGAAAATGGGGGTGGGGATGGAAGGAAGGAGAGGGGGAGGGGCACTTACGTCGTCTTCTGCGCGGGTTTCTTCTTCGTGTATGAGGAGGCAGTCTCTGCAGAAGATTTCGNGGATGGAAGGAAGGAGAGGGGGAGGGGCACTTACGTCGTCTTCTGCGCGGGTTTCTTCTTCGTGTATGAGGAGGCAGTCTCTGCAGAAGATTTCGTGGCACTGTACCTCTTCATGTTAGCTTCGCACTCACTCACTCACACCCACGAAAACAAAACATATAAAAAAGAAAAAGACTCACAGCATCAACCTGCACAGCCCCCACGGGAATATCCCCACAAACCCCACACTGCAACCGACCAAGCAACTCCCTCTGATCCAACGTCCCCAGCGCCTTCCCAAGACTAAACGTCGATCCAAAACTCCCCTTCCCAAATCCCTCTCCAGCACCACCACCAGCCTGCTTCTTCGCAGCACTCTCCTCAACCCACAACTTCGTACGTTCATAAAACGGGAGGGAGGCGCGCGAACCGAGGGATTCAAGTTGGTTCTTGAGTTCCTGGACGTCGGAGAGATCCCAGGTTTCTTTGATGGTGCGCTCCATCATGAAGGGGTGGCCGGTGCATTGACGGAGGCGGAGGAGTTGAACCATCCACATTGTGTAGTTTCTTTTTGCGTCGCCGCGCATGATGTAGGAGTTTAGGATGGAGCGGAAGCGGTTTTCTGTCTGTTTTTTGTATGTTAGTATTTATTCATCCCCAAGCTCTGACCTCGCTTAATCGCAAGCCCCTGCTCTCAAATCTCACATCACAACACTTAACAAAAAAAAAAAGGAAGTCTTACAATCCGATAAATAATCCTCTCCTCATCTGAGAAACTAATCTTCTCAATATGCGGATGCGGCTCGGGAAGTTTGATAATAGGACAATTCAACATGGTACTCTTCATAGTCCGTCTCAACATGGAGAACTCCAAGAGGGTGGCCACCCGACTAGAACACCGCGGGTCTTGGGGGTCGCAGAAGTATTTTTTGAATTCCCGGATGTCCATGCAGTAGTCTGCTTTGAGGAAGCGGAGGTAGGGGAAGAGTCTGGGTATGTGTTAGTTTTATATGTGAGTGGGTGGGAAAGGGGAAGGGGAGGGGGAAAGAGGGAAAGAGGGAGAAAGAGAAAAAACACTCACTCCTCAACATTATTAAGTAGCGGCGTCCCAGTAAGACACCACCGATAAACACTCTTCAAATGCTGACACGCCAAACTCGTCCTCGAACTATTATTCTTAATCGCATGCGCCTCATCCAACACCACGCGATACCAATCAATCTGATGCAACGGACCAAACTCCTTATCCGCCGCCCAAGCCTTGAATCCATTCGCACTCGCCGCCGCCTTCTGACTCGCATCATTGGGAAAAGGGAACTGCTTCCAGACCTCCGTGTATGAAGCCAGCACGATATCCACACTCGCCAGCACCTCGCGACTATAATTCGCGTCGCCTTTGTAGATGATGACTTTATCAAAGACGCCCGGCTCGGTATGCTTCTTGATCTCCGCTGCCCATTGCCTGATCACCGCCGCGGGGAGGACAATCAAAGTAGTAACGATGCGACGCTTTTTATCCAGATCGCCCGGTCGGTTCCCAACCATACACGCAAGCGTCTGCACCGTCTTCCCAAGACCCATACTATCCGCAAGCAACCCACCATGAGGATTAATCCCCGCCAACTCACGAGTCAACATCCACTGCGCGCCAACGAGCTGGTAATGATACAGCAGCGATTTCATGCCCTTGACTTTCCAACGACCATCTTGGGCTCGCACTTGTGCGTAGCCGAATGACTTGGCCGCGTTCTTGATACTATTCTTATCATTGCGGATCTTTCGTTGCTCGCCTCCGGAGGGAATATTAGCGAAGAGCTCCGCGAATTGGTCTTTCTTCCGTAGTTTGCCTGTGATGGTGGGACCCATGCTATTTTTAAAAATTGGATCGTGGATACGGGTTGCGATATCGTCTGTAGCAGCGAGGCCTCGAATGATCTGTTCACTGATGTTATCATGTCCGCTTTCACCGTTGACCATTTGACGACTGGAGGGGTATTGATCTTTCTTTGAAGATTTTGAGGATTTGCTTTTGCTTTTGCCTTTGGATTTGGATTTCGATTTTGAGGTGGTTGTGGAGGTTTCTTTTCGACTCTTCTTTCGTTGGGCTTTAGCTCGTGCTTTCCCCCTATCCTCTTCAGCTTGAACAAAAGCCTCGCGAGCGTTCCGTGGTCTCTTCTTGTGAGTCTTGCTAGTAGGTAGGGGCGTAGGTTCAAGGGACATCGTCTCATTACCCGCACCCATGAGATCAAAAACCGCTTGTTCCATCTCACCACCAATATCCGTATCCCCATCAGAATTCCCCATTCCCATTCCCATTCCATCATCCATCCCCATCCCCTCATCCTCACTAAACCCCCTCCCCTCAACAAGCGTACTCTCCGGCCTAGCCCTCTCATGCTCCACAATTATTCTCTCCCTTACACTCGCACTCCCCTCCTCCTCGACAAACAAACTCTCTTCCTCCTCACCACCCCCCTCCTCCCTCGCCTCCGCCATTCGAACGAGGAACTTGATCCGTTTCTGCGCACGGTACAATTCCATTTTCTCGCCATTAGTAATCTTTCCCTGCTTTACCTTTCGTTCATAAAGATTCCGTAATTGAATCAGTTCTTGTAATTCTTGGTCTTCCTCTGGTTCCTCGTGCATCCATGTAGTATCCGTCGGATCCTCAACTTCCACTTCAACTTCTTTTGCAACATTCCCATTTCCGAGAGCATAACCACCACCAACCACCATCCCACCCCCCTCCCTCTCACTCCCACCATCATCATCACCCACCCCACTTACCACCCCCATCGGAACCGGGTCCCTCATTCCCGTGACATCAAAACCACCCTGCTCCCGCAACATACGAAGCTGAGCCTGATACGACTCTAGCATTCCTAGAACAGCTTGATTTGATCCACCACCGGTTTCTGCAGTTCCAGTGCCTCGTCCTCCTTTCTTCCGACCGGGGCTGAAAATGATTTGTTGATGGTCTTCACCCTCACTCTGACCCTGACTCATAGCTTCGTCCTCACTTATTTGACGGATGGGACTTGGGGATTCGGCTTTGATGTTAACTTCTGAAACCTCATTTTCACCCTGGCTCATAGCTTCACCCTCACCCAAAACCCCATCCTCATACCCACCCACCATCCCCCCCGCATCTCTAGAGTCCATCATCGTTATTGAATTAGTCATTTCCATATCCATCTCCATCTCAGCCTGTGCTCCAAGTCCAAGTCCAAGTCCAATTTCAGATTCAGATTCGGATTCAACTTCGGCTTCAACTTCGACTTCGACTCGCTCTTGCGGTTCGTTCATAAAGTTTTCAGGATCAAGATCCATATCTTCACCAATATCTCCGGAAATATCCATGTCCTCGTGGTCGTGTTCATGCTGGTGCTCATCCGCATGCTCATCCTCGTTCTCTGGCGCATGATCATGCTCTTGACCTCGCTCATGCTCAAACTCATGCTCTCGACCATCCATACCCATACCCATCGTAAGTTCCACCGCTATTGACAAACCGACGTCAGCTTATTCTTGTTCTTTTCCGCAGTCCTTTTATTGAAGTTGTGTTTAAAGGCAAGAAAAGAAAAGAGAGTCTTGGTTGTTTTCGTCTTTGGTTTGCTCTTGAAAAAGAGGGGATGAAGATATTCTCGAAAGAAGAATGAGGAAAAGAAGGTTTCTCCAAGAAGAAGAAGAAGAAGAAGAAGAAGAAGAAGAAGAAGAAGAAGAAGAAGAAGAAGAAGGATAGAGGGAGGAGAATATTCCCCTTATCCCAAGCCCTAAGACCTCTATACCCCCACCCCAACCCCCACTTTCCCCTACTCCTCTCCTCTCCTCTCCCCACTTACTCCCCCCCTCAAATCCTCAAGTGAATATCAATATCAAAATCAAACTCACCTTCATCATCATCCCCTGCCACTCCCTCACCCTCACCCTGTCCCCCTCCCTCATCCAACCCCTCCAAAGTATCTCCCTGCCGTAACTCCTCCAAGCCATCACCTCCCAACTCCAAAGCATCCCCCTCAACGAAATGGTGTTCAATCGAAGGAAGAGGTGTATCTGGATCCATGNCCCTGCCGTAACTCCTCCAAGCCATCACCTCCCAACTCCAAAGCATCCCCCTCAACGAAATGGTGTTCAATCGAAGGAAGAGGTGTATCTGGATCCATGATTGAGGTTCGATACTTCGGAGCTGAGCTGATACCTGGATATGGGGTATGATGTGGCTGGTATGTCGTGCTTGATGCGATGACGTGATGATGCGGTGTGTAAGGTATGAGGAATGACGAGGTGTATGAATAGGTGTTTTGCAGACCAGCTGAATCAGGAAGGTTAGAGTAAGTAGGTTAGGTTCGGCGTATGTGATTTCCAGAAACAATCGAGATATGTAAAAGTTTATGGCGATATCCTATCCTATGTTATGTTATCGTATCAAGGACCGTCTTCTCCGTCTCCGTTTCTTGGTCCAAGGACTCTTCAAACCCTCCTCAAAGCTCGCAAAGTTGAGAATTGGAAATTGAGTTTGAGACTTTCTCGCAAAAAAGGAGTACTCAGGTATTCGCAGTCGTATCACTAGAACTCACCCTCCAAAGCTCCAAAGAAAGGATGTTAATCAGAGAAAGAACTTCCCCCCTCCAATTCCGAGGCAATATATACCCCACCAACCTCCACATCCCATCAAACTATATACCGATCCCCCGAATCCCCTTGAAACACCAGCGTCACCGCCATAGTATTATAGTGTCTATAGACGAGACACTTCCGAGTGAATCCCCAGAGCTCAGACTCTACCATCAAGTAAAGATGAAGGCGTACGACGAGAAAGAGAATCACACCACACATACCCTCCTCCCCTCTCTTTCCCTCTCTGCCCCATCATTTCCTAGCTTTATATATACCAAGAAAACAACACCACCCAGGACACGAACCACCACCGTACACACAAAAACTCCAAAACAGAAAAGAATCATCAAGTAAAAGTTTGAATTGAAATCCAAATATCGTAGCTACCAGACTTCATAGAGCCAGTACTGTATTCGGCGTCGTATCCTAGCAAACCACTACACACAACATCCACTCATCCACCCATTCATGCCACACCATCCCAAACTCCCAAACGCCTAACGACCCAGTACACTTTTCCAAAAGAAAAAGGAGAAAAAACAACACACTGAACGTAAACTCAACGATTAAAAGAAACGAAGAAAAAACCAAAAGCTCTATGTACAGTCTAAAGAAAATAGGGGCCTCAACCTCTACTGTATCCGATGTTGAGGAGCGAAGTGAAAAAGAGAAGTTTTGTACAGAACGAAAAAAACATTATGGTGTATGGTTCGGCGCAGGTCCAAAGCTAAGTAGCGTGACGTAATGTGTGGAAGAAATCGTATTTCGTTGATTTTCGCAAGGCGTATATCATAGTAACCAACTGTTTTGGTCAACAACACCAGTGACCGCGTTCTTGGTTGGATAATACCAAGCGCAGACAGCGATAATCCTGAATATCCGAGTTAGTAAATGTTCAACTACATTCGTCGAGTTGGTATTGGAGACTTACAAGTAAAGACACTGCAACAGCATCCCTTCCAGCCAGTGACTCTTTCCATCACCGATCAAATAATTGACCAGTAGAACAGAGACAAACAAAACCGTGATTTGAAATCCGTCAAAGCTCAAATTCATATCAGGCTTACCCATAATCCACCCAATGACAACAAGAAGAGGAATCAAGAAGAGAGAAACCTGCATACTGGAGCCAACACAAACACCAATGGCAAGGTCCATTTTGTCTTTGCATGCAACAGTCACGGCAGTAGCATGTTCGGCAGCATTTCCAACGATTGGCAAGAGAATCAGACCAACAAATTCGATGGAAATTCCGGATTTCTTCCCATCTGTGGGAGCTTCTCCTTCCTCAGCTCCGGTAATGGAAGAAATACTATCCACCATGAACTCAGCGCATAAACCGATGATGACTGTTGAAATTGCAAGCGTAGCCCATGCAACTGCGATATGGAGAGTAGGTTCTTCGGCTTCATCATCAGCTTCTTCATGTGCTGTGGCGTTGAGTAATTCATCATTTGGAGGTCGATCCGCCATATTTGCTCGCCCAGCTCCAGCCCCAATTCCACCAGCAGCAGCCAAACCTTTGGAAATGGCACCATCTGCCAAGGCCTTCTTGCGAGGTCGCTTTGGTACCTTTTGACTCTCCTCGCTGAAGGCATTGGAGTGGGTGTGTAATTGGAAGTATAAATATCCAAGGTAAACAACCAAAAGGATTACCGACGTTCCTCTGGAGAGGGCTGCAATAACCGGGGTAGGTGCACGGGTGCTGTCGGTGCTGGTAAATTGATCGAAGCAAGTTGGGATGATCAAAGCACCAACTGCTAAAGCCAGAAGACTGGCAGCAGTTTGGGCAACGGTTTGGTTGAAGAATTGTTCCGATCGTCTCAATCCGCCGAAAAAGAAGCACATTCCCATGACCAGCAGTAAATTGGATAGAATACTGCCTATGAGAGATGTTTGGACAACCACGATTTTATCCTGAGCCAAAGCAATAATTGCGACAATCAATTCGACGGCATTACTACACTTATTAGCGCATGTTTTCAATCAAAAGTTTGAAAGACATACCCGAAAGTAGCATTTAAAAGACCTCCTAGACTCTCCCCCACATGTAAAGCAATTTCTTCCGTGGCAAAACCAAGTAGACCAGCTAACGGAACAATGGCAATGAAATTGACAACGAAAATGGCCACACCATTTACCCCAGCATAATTTAGACCAATTCCAACAGGCGCGGCGATGAGTAGAATATTGACCCAGGATCCAGCAACCGTTCTCATCAACTGATTCCGAACGGTAAAAGGTTTTTTGTGTGGTAGAATCTTTCCTTTATACCAAGGACGCTTCTTTTCTTTTGCATCTTCCTCATTCGTTTCTTCTTCAGATTCATTTCGCTTCCAGAAGTTTTTGATACCTCTCTTCTTTCGTTGCGTCATGCCTTTTTCCTCTGTCGACAGGCCTGTCAAACTTCGACCTAAAAATGTATTTCCGCTATCCGGATCGCTAGGTCTTCCTTCTTCACTTTTCTCGCGAGACCCACTTCCCCCAAAATCATTCGCCTTACCCTCTCTCGAGGAGCCTTCCTGTGGTGATGCAAACATTGGTTCGGTCTGGGCGTGTGTTATGGGTGAACCGTCTTCTTCGCCAGCTTCCAGCTGACGGATGGATTTCTGCGTTGGAACGGTGCTTGAACGGGAGACTTGGCGAAAGGGATTGTGCGAATCGTTATTCCAGGCTTCTCTGCGAGCTTGTTTGCGAATAGTGTCTAGAGGGGGCGTCAGTCAGAGTAGTAGGCGCTCAATTGTGTAAGAATCCTTACGAATGTTAAAGGATGGACCCATGGTTGGAACTTATGGTGGAGAACTTGTTGTTGGAAAGTTTAAAAAGGACCACCGCCACAGGCGATCGGGAATGGTTGTAGGGATAACCCGATGTGAATGGAGGGGGAGGAATTATGCTCTGCGACTCGGATTCACCACTTTCCAGGGACTTGAGCTTGGCAGGTCCTGTTTTGACTGGGATGATGACTGAAGTGGTAGTGCCAATTCCCAATCGACGGTTTCTGTTGTTGATGAATGGGCAATTGCGTCTCCAAGATATCATGTGTGACCGCGGGCGGTGCTGAGTGTCCAGCTTTGACTGGTGCTGGTGCACAGTCAGGCACGATTCGAGTTGCCTCGTTGCCTAGGTCTTAGCCCTTATGTGCGTTGGAGTATTGGAGTGGGAAGGAGGAGTTGTTTGGAGGCTGAGGAGCTTCACAAGCTTGGGCACCGCACCACAGCTCAGGTACGTTACGCTGATCTAGGGTCGTCGGTCGGCGGCAGTCGTCTGAAGTGTGAATGTTGATGCGATGCTACGGATCCAGCGAGGCCGATCGAACACTGCGCCACCGTTGTTTGGAAGTATCGCGAAGTCGACGATGGTGTTGTCGAGAATGAGAGTGAGAGAGAGAGAGTGAGAGAGAGAGAGTGAGAGTAGTGGGAGTGCGAAAGAAGTTGGATTGGGAGAAACGAAGCGGACGGGGGGAAGGAACCACGACTCCTTCTCATCAACGGAGATACTGGGTAGCTGGCGAGATGGGGACGACAGGGTCGTCGGATGCTTGGCACTGGTCCTGGCTGTCGACACTGATTGTGAATGGTGGAATCGCTGCTTGGCGATTACTGAAAACACCAGGACATTACTGAAATCATTGAGATTGCTCCGGGGAGAAAGGCACAGTACGTCATATCTCGGTTCTCTCACTGTCGGAATATTTGATGGCCATATAAAAGGATGACTCCCAATTCCAATTCCATGGCCAACGACTGACAGCCCTGGTGAGCCTACGGGTAGGAGAGTAAGCTGATACCATTGGGTGCGAGTATCCGCAGGCAGAGTCAGATCTGGGCAGACATACAGTGCTCGAGTCGGGCATCGCACATCTTATCTGACCGCTCATACGTTGATTATACGATATTTACGACATCCAGATCGGTTTCCTATTCCAGTAACCGGTAAAGTATGATATTACACTCACTCGTTTGTAGCAACCGTCGCACAATTTCAATCCACATCTCCAATTCCCATGACGACACAACAACAAACGACCAAAACCAAACCAAGTCAGTGCCCAGCCAACTTGGCATTGCTTGACCAGCACATCAACCAGATCAACCATCACAACTCACAAAACAAGCCTCTCCCAAGCTCCACGCCACTGGAACCACCCATACTGGGCAGAAGCTTGTGTAGACGACCAACACTCTACCAACCTGTCGCCCAACTCAACGTCGATTCCAAAGTACCAGCATGAATCTGTATGATGCTAACATACCGAGTACGCCACAACGACAAATCCACTTCCCACTGGAGCCACGTCCACTACACTATTCTCCTCAGCCACACTCCCAAAGCTGGGTTGTAACGACGCCGTTGGGAAGATGCTGGTGAGAAATTTAGGTTGGAGTGATTGGTACGTCGGTACTATTTATCCAGCGCTGTTCTGCGCGATGAGGCGTGTGGCGTGCTTCTTTAACGGGAACTCAATTTCACTTCTACTTACATCACAAATACCAATTTTCAAATCACGGGATTTTCTTTTTTTTTTTCTGTTGAGTATTTCGCCCCTTTCCTTTCTTTGGGGCTCGAAACCTTCGCATCGGGAGTACGTCTCTGCATCTCCTTGCCCTCACACTTCAGCACCAGAACTATCTCCACGAAAATTGAGCTTGGTCACGTGATAACAAGACATTCCCATCCACGGCCGCACTCCTTTCGCCAACTTCGTGAGAGTAATCTCGGTTCTGATCTTCTGATTTTTCTCCACAGTCAATAATTCTTACCTACCTATTCTTGAATATGCAAATTACTATCACAAAACGTCTCGTGTACCTGGGCTCGCTGGTCTCCATATAAATACCTGCTTTCCCCCACCCAAAAAAAGCAAGGCCAAGGTTCAAAACACAGGCTACCATGGCAAACCATTGGATAGGACGGATCTCCTCCCATCCAATCCCCACGTCAGATAACCATGGAACCTTGGATCAAGGAGCTTGCTTCAGGCTATTTGTCTAACCTGTTGTACTCGTACCCTGTATTTCCCAAAGAAAACAATTACCTACCCCTTAAATCTACTACTCTATCTCTCCTGCACTCCGTATCGACCCATCTACCCATCTATGAGGCTCTGCTCCGCTCCGACCTAGTACGATACACATCTAAACACAATCCATTCATTTCATCCATTCATTTGTACCTCCGTACACAAAGACACCCAAACCATTATCTATACACATACCCTACCTACCACCGCACCCTTGGAAATCGTAGAAACGGATGCTATGGAATCAACAAGCCCTACGCCTACGATTCCTGGTGCTTCGCCTACACTCCCGACTCCCCTCACGCGAGCAGGTGCTAGTTACGCCGTCACTACGGGGGACTTACCTGCTCATCGACCTTTGGGGCAATTTTTGCTTTTAGGTGCGGTGTATATTCTTGTATCCCCCATCCTCATCCTCGACCATCAATTCGATATTCAATCATAGCAAAGCTCTGAGTATAATAATTGTACTAATAAAGTTCTGTATTCTTTAGGAGATAGTCTAACGCAAGAAGCTCATCGACAGAAAGATGGGTTTGGAATGGGTGCTGAGTTGCAGAATGGTTTGTTTGATTTCCCTTCCCCCTCTGTCTCTCCTATCTCCCCTCCCTTGAGTTTTCTGTTTCTCTTTGAATTTTTGGGGGTTGTTATTTGTATTGGTTGTACGGTTGTGATAAAAAGGATCAATTGTAAGAGGGTCGTTGTGAGAGCTATACTAACGATACGTGTGTTAGCGTATATTAGACGGTTTGATGTTATTAATCGGGGATTTTCGTAGGTGAAATTCCTGGTTTGGTTTTTCACTTACTTGATCATTTCCTTACTTCCCTCACCATCACGCATTCATAACACTATTCTAGCATCTCACTAGCCTATCATTTCACTCGTTACTTTCCTCTTCCCCATCACTTACCTCATCACTCACTCCCCATTAAACCTTTTCCTCTCCCCCACTACTCACTCAGACATATCACTATTCTAGCATCTCACCCCCCCTATCACCCTCCCACTATCTCGCTTTTCTCCTCTCTCACTCCACCAAAGAAGACAGAAGACAGAAAATAAAAGAAGACAAAAACATACTAACAGAGAGAAATAGAGGTTACAACACCGACCACATCCTCCTAATCCTCCAAGACATAATCCCCACACCTCAACAAGCTCATATAAAATTCCTCGTATGACCCTTCCCTTTCCCCCTCCATCCCCTTCTTCTGCTCTCCCCCACACCCTCTCCACACAACTCACCCCTCCACCCAAAAACAAACCCTTCTCACAAACACCTCAGACCATCTGGCTTGGCGCAAACGACTCCAACCCCCTCGGTACCAATCCCCCGCAACACGTCCCACTCTCCCGTTTCCGCTTCAACCTCAATGATATCATCTCCAATCGCGCCGTCACAGCGCATATCCCGGGTGGGCTGGAGGTGGTTTTGATTACGCCGCCGCCGGTGGATGGTGGGTTTGTTCTTTTATTTTATCTCCTTTTCTTTGACTTGAGTTCGGGGGGGGGAGAAGGGGGTTGTGAGGTGTCAGGTGTGAGGGGAGGGTTATGAGAGATGAAGTAAAGATACTGATTTGTGATGGTAACAGAGTATTTACTATCCCAAAACTTCACCGGAGAAAGGAAAGAGGGGAGGAGCGTAGAGGGTGCTAGGGAGTATGCTGAGTATGTTATTTCCTCTTGAACCCCCTTCTCCATCATTAAAACCTTCATTCTCCCCTTCTCATCCCCTTTTCTTTCCTCCTCAATAAAGAAACGAAGGACAAGAAAAGAATGAGATTTTGCTAATGAGCGATGGTATAGGGCAGTAAAAGAAGTAGGCTCCATAACCGGCGTCCCCGTCGTAGACATCTGGACAGCATTCATGCGCAAAATCGGCTGGGAAGAGAGCTCTGCTGCCTCTATCCCTATCCCTGGGAAATCAGAAGATGGTGGAAAAGCTGGGTTGGGATTATTACTCTCGGATGGTATTTAACCCCCCATTTTACTCCCCCCCCCTCCTATATCTACCCCTCCACTCATACCCCCCTTTTCCCCTTCCCCTGTTACCTCCCACAATTTCCATACACTACTACCTCAAGACTCAGGACTAAGCAAAACAGGCCTCCACCTCACCNCCACTCATACCCCCCTTTTCCCCTTCCCCTGTTACCTCCCACAATTTCCATACACTACTACCTCAAGACTCAGGACTAAGCAAAACAGGCCTCCACCTCACCCCCCAAGGTTACAGACTAGTCTACGACGAACTTATCAAAGTGATGAAAGAGAGGTTCCCAATGTACCCACCTTATACCATGCCTTTTTCTGTGAAGGTTCCTTGGGAGGCGGCGAGGGGGGGAGGACATTGGGATGTTGTTGTGCAGAAGGGGGATGTTTTGAGGGGTGTGGAGGAGGATGAAGTAAAGTGAGGTTGGGGTGATGAAAGGAAGGGAAGGAAGGGAGGGAGGGAGGTGATGAGAGGAGGGAAGGAAGGGTAAGAAGGGTTATAAAGGATATGAGGAGATTTATAGTGCGTACAAGTAGATTGTGAAATTAGAGAGTTTTCGGGGTTATACGTTTTGTTTTTATAAAGAGGTGTTTTTTATAGGTTAGTATATAAGAGAGGGTATTTTGGTTTATAAGATTACTTTATAGATACTTATTAACGAATATACCTAGTAGGTGGGAGAGAGTAAATATATGATTATATAGTTATACTTAACTTATAATAAGTTTATTTTTCTTATATACCACTTATAAGTTATATTAAATGAAATAATAGTATAGTACTAACTAGTTACCTTACTATCCTAATCTAAGTACTTGATTTATAAAAAGAATTTTAAGATTTTATAACAATCTCGCTTAGGGAATAGTTTAGCTTCGTTAGATTGGTCTTTTCTCTACGCCTTACTCTATTAGAGTTCTAAAATAAGTCCCGTAGTTTAGAGAAAGATCATTAATACATTTCTTATTCTTTAAATTAAAAACTCGTCTCGTAAAATAAAACTATACTATAATCTTACACTTGTCTAAATATGCGAATGCGCCGCTTAGGTTTACACCAAATGCACAGCCATAGTTGCAGCCTACAGCCCGCAACCTCGTCTCATTGGCTCAAGAGGGTGATTTTCCGGCGGGACACTCGGATTGGTTCGCTCTCCCGCCATTTTTCTTGAGCCATCTTTTGGAGTATGCCCACCTGTTTCGAAGTGGTGTTGCTTACTGATAAATGAGTCAATGCAAGGCACCTGAGGATTCTGATTAGTTAATTGGTTGCCTGTCTCGTTGGCTGATTGGTTGATGTGATGTAAATTATGCGGGGAAGCTCTCAGCCCCTCGCTGCCTGGAAGGGGGAGGAATTGAGAAGGAAGATTACATCAACTTGGGGGGTTATAAGTAAACCTCACTCTCCATAATTTCCTCAATCAGCCTCCTGGATTTCTCCTCATCCATCAGAACTTCCACCTCTCCATTTTTAACAAAAAATCACACTACTTGCCTTGCGTCCTCAACATGCAAGAAAAAACAGAGACAGAAAGAATGACAACCCAAACCCCCCAAAAACAAGAATTCCGCATCCGCGATTTAGGAACTCGCAGCGTCCTACTCTTCCCCACCCGCGCCCAAATAATCCGCGACATAAAAGACATCACCATCCATCCCGGCGCAAACCAGATAATCATCGACGGCCTGGCTCCAACAATAGACGAGCACTCTGTTAAAGTCGAAGGCTCGGGTGCGGCAACCATTACAGATGTTTCGGTGAACCTTCTTCCTAACCGGGAGCTTTATGAGGATGTCTACCCCTCTGATGGAGAGGATGAGGATGAGGAGGAAAGTAAGAGTGAGAGCGGGCCTAAAGGTGTGAAGAGTATTGAAGATAGTATTAGGGGGTTGGGTGTTAGGTTGCTTGCGGAGAGCGAGAAGATCAATTCAGCGGTTTTTCGATTGAAAGTTATTGATACGTATGTAACTGTGACGGCGTCCTCTAGCGAGAAGACAACGGTTGATATGGTGAAGCTTGTTAATGAATATGGGCAAGAACGACAGAAGGTCTATCATGATCACGAGGCTGGTACATTGGCCGCAGAGAGTATCCGATCCCAAATACGGGCTGCCGAGGAGGAGAAAGCGAAATTGGTGAAGAGCTGGACGAAATCCACTGAGAAGAAAGAGAAGGAGAGGGCGAAACTAACAGAAAAGAGATTCCGTGATAGAGCGGAGAGGAGGAAGGAGAAGCAACGTGTTAGGAATGAACGTTTGAGTTTCTGGGCAAAGAATGTTTATAGGGTGACTATCAATCTTGAGCCTGCAAGTGATACACCATCCTCCTCAAGAAGAAGTTCAACAAGCGAGATTGTCACCCCAAGCCATACCAACCTTGTAACATCAACCTTCCACGAAACGACAGAAAAGCCTTTACCAAAAGACAAAATCAACCTCTCCATTTCTTACATCACCTACTCTGCATCCTGGTCCCCTCGCTACGACCTAAGTCTCAACACAGTGAAATGCACCGGCCTCCTCGAATACGGAGCCGAACTGCGAAACACTACATCAGAGACCTGGAAAGATGCAAAATTCATCCTCTCCACTTCACAAACGACATTCTCAGGTCTGTCTGAAGATATCCCAACATTGGAACCCTGGCAAGTATGTCTGCAAAAAGGGGCTGGGAAAGACGGCGGACTCATGAGTACCAACGAAGTTATAGCCAAGAGAGATGAATGGAATAAAACTGTCTTCAATACCAATGAGAAACCGCGCTGGGTGGATTTTGGTGCGAGTGAGAGCGATACGACACTTGCTCGATATCAGGAAACCCAGCAAGGTCACATACTTGCTCAACAACGGCACAGAGAGAAACTTATGCAGGATTTCCATGCCGGGCAAAAAGAGGCGTCGGCGGACACGAAAAAAAATACAGCTTTTTCATCATTCGGTGCACCCGCAGCTGCTCCCGTAGCAAATCCATTGTTTGGTGCAGCACTAGCACAGTCATCTCAAGGACGAGCCTCTGGGACATCACTATTTGGAAGCGCCAGAGCGACAGCAGATCTCGCTCCTGAAAGTGCCAAAATAGGTGCTCTATCCGGTTTCGGTTCAACAGGTCCAGCAGGTAGTAGCCCATTCGGAGCCGTCATAAACGCAACCGCAACAAATCCGTTTGGCAAAGCAACCTCACAGTCTTTTGGCGGAAACTCTGTATCGTCACTATTTGGAAATATGGCCACGAAGCCAGCAGGCGTCGCAGCAAAAAGACCAGCTCCAGAAGAAGAAGTACTAAATGACTTCGATTTCGACAGCTTCACCGGACCCGTCGACTTCAACTTCGACGGCTCCATGGAGCCCGTCCCCCAAGATTCACTAAACTTCGAGGCAGGAACCTGGGAAGAAACAGGCCTGACAACAACCTACGACCTACCCTCCACCAAGACGCTCTCTCCCTCTCCCACGGCAAGTAAGCATAAAATTGCCAAGAGCCCCTTTTCCGACATCCACTTCTCGCACATTCTATTCCCCAAACTACGGGCTGTAGCATTCCTGAAAGCACATCTGCGGAACACATCAAAAATTACCCTGCTCAAGGGTCCTCTTGGTTTAAGTCTGGATAACTCATTCTTGGGACAAACCACGTTCCCGCGGTGCTCAGCGGGCGAGAGTTTCTCCTTGCCATTGGGAGTAGATCCTACGCTACTGGTGAGTTATGGGAAGCCTGTTGTGCGACGGAGTCAGAGTGGGATATTCAGCAAGGAGGATAGTAATCTGTTTACACGTACAATAACAATTCAGAACACGAAACATAACAGTATGCCCGTGGATGTCACGGTCCTGGATCAGATCCCTGTATCTGAGGATGAGCGGTTGAAGATCGAGGTTGTGAATCCGGCTGGTTTGAAGGTTGGTGGTGCGGCGGTGAAGACGGGTGTTGATGCTTTGGTGAACGGTTCCCGGCTTGGTTCGACTGGTGGGGAACGAAGTGGTACTGCTGCCTATGAGAGAGAAAGATATGGCGGTGCTGGTGCGAAGGAGAAAGAGAAATGGGGAACCGCCCTCGCGACAGCAAAGAAACTTGGTGAGATATCTTGGAGCGTGATGTTAAACCCGGGACAAGGAGTGAAACTAGTATTGGAATATGAGGCGACGTTCCCGGCGGGGGAAGGAGTTGTTGGTCGCTAAATTTTGGAAAGGTGGCTCGGTTGACTAACGTTTCTTTGTGGTGGAAATCTTGAGTGAGGAGTAATGGTCGAGGAATGATACTAATGCGAATGTAGAAATTTGGATAGGAATGGTAACAATATACGAAATACGTTTATAAGCAGTTAATGATTAGGACAGGAATTGCTTTTGGGGAAAAGATACAGTTTTAGCTTAAGGGAAACAATGAAAAGAAAGATGTAGGTGATTTCAGGCAATGTATAGAACAGATATCAATCCATTCAGCGCTGACATAACAACAATGAATAACACCGAACCATTTACGGAAAGAAAGTACCAAGCGGTAGTTTATTGATACTCTGGTCAATACCGAATTTCCCTTTTATTACGCCACTAATGCAAAGCTGTAAAATAATAGCGAATCTATCTAAACTACAATGTAAACACAATCATTCTGAGAATATACATGATTCCCACGAGAAAAGAAATTTCCATTACCCCCTACCCCTCATTACTCCCCGGTCCCTCAGATTTCATGTCAGCTCTCTTCTGCAAAAGCATCGCAACATTCAACGCCGCCCCCCAAGTCCCCAAGCGAGTACAAACCTGCGTGCCATGCTCAAGAACAAGTTTTCTCTTCCTCCGCTCCACCTTCTCCCTCGCCTCCTCCCTCCTCTTGCTATCCATTCCACCCCTCTCACTCCTCTCAAGTTCATCGTCTAACCCCTCCACACGACTCAACACATCCCTACAAAAGACCGTACTCCCAAGCCCCCCATCCCTCACCATCCCCATAAACCTTTTATACGAAGGCCTCTCCGAAAGGGTACTGAAAATCCAAATCACAAGATGGCAAAGGAAAACAGTGATGATGATATCAGGCGTCGTTTCGGTACCCCCTGGTCTCACTTCGGATGTGAACGCGACGATAGCGCGGACAGCGTTGAATGCACAATTCTCCGCTTTGTAGGGATCGTCACGAGCCCAAGCTTTGAGTTTCGCGATGGCAGGAGGGATACCGGTAGGTCCGGAGGTACCGAGAGCGCCTTGGATGGTGGTAAGTGGAATATCGAGAAGGATGAGGGAGAGGTGGTGGATTGCTCGGGATTGGCGTTGGAAGTGGGTGGATGGTTTGGATACCGGGAGGTAGGTTGAAGAGAAGGCGTTAAGTGATGCGATATGTTGAGTGCGGCGCTCCATTATAAGAGGATTCGTCCTCCTTCTGTCGGGTGAGTTTGTGGGGACACCGTTTGTTTCGTTGGCTTGTGACTGGGAAAATGCTGATAAGAAATTAGATAGTTGGCAGAATTCGAAGAGTTCGTTGGACACTGCGAGTAACACCAGAAATGCACCCCAGTCGTTGAGATTCATTCTTGGTAGACCCTGTCTTTGACCAACACTAGCTCCTAACGGATTCACAATAAACGGCCCCATTGCCGCCGCGAACGAGACCGTGGGAGGAATTGAGGCAGTACCAAGTAATCTCTTCCATTCATGAGCAGAGCGGGCAGCCCAAAAGACATTATCGCATGGAAAAGACAGATGGCCAATTTCGATAATGGCTATCGTGGCAGGGAGATTCAGGATGGTCGGAAACTGAAGATCAATGTAATAAATGACCCAAAATAATCGACTTCGGGTTTCTTTGGCTATCCATCTCTCCCACTCAAGTTCGATCAGACTTTTCGGTGGAAGGGTATCATTTTCCTTGGTGTCCGGAGGAACATTGCATCCAAACCCAGTGCGTCGAATAAAAATCATTAAATTTGCCCGAACCGATTCAGCCATTTCAAATGCACGCTTGTTACCACACCATAAGCCAGCATAACATATGAGTGCTTGTGCATAGATAGCCATGTTATCTCCCATCAGATTGTTGTCAAACTCTATAGAAACCTGGATATGCCACCTCACGATATCGATCAGTACAATAGCAAACCGTCTCGAATTTCTCAATCCACTATAGGTTGCTCCAATTATGATGATAGCAGCAAGAAGTGGTGTTGGTAAGTCCGTATTCATATCGACTGTAGCATGATGCAGGACTGGCATCTGGCTAGAGAAGTGTTCAAAAAATAACCCTATTAGAACATTCATGACTGGTAGACTCGGGAGCGTGAAAGTCCCAATGTGAGTATCGAGCGACTCGCAACCGGTAGGTGGTTTTAGAAATGCTTGGATTCTAGCAAAGGTTTGTTCCGTGATATCGAATCTTGTTTTGTGAGTCCGAAATAGACGATGGCCATTTGGAATATCAACAGGGTCAGCGTGCAATATTTTGTGCGTCGAACATGGGTTCCACATGAGAGGCCAGTTGTCATCGATTGGCGTAGTATTAGATGGTGATTGCTTTGGCGTGATACCGGCGGTTACAGGCTTTTGCTCATTATTTGATGTAGTATGGTGACTCGGTCGAGAAAAAGCGTGGTCGCCCAGTGCCGTACCGAGTATCATATCATGGGAAGCGTGGACAATGTTTCCCTGGGAGTGCTGTTGCTTCAATAGGTTCTGATCTAAAACTCCAGTTTGGAGGACTTCTTCCATTTCATTGCCTGTCTCTCGTATAGCAGAATAGAAGTCGAAGGAATACCAATCATTACTATTTTCATTCATTCCGGGAGGAAGTAGAAAAGATGAAAAATCGAGTTGTAGAAAAGACTCGTCTATTGGATCAAAATGATTATATTGAGGAATCTTGGGTCTCGCTTGCTCGATGTGATTTGTGATATTGGGCGCAAACGGTTGACTTTCAAGGTGACTTTTCCTATGAACGAGGGGCTTTAGTACATGATATGTTTGGTAACTATCATCGTTGTGTCTTTGAGAAACATGCTGCGGTGCCGAGTTGGGCTCTGAAATTGGCTGCAGGGCCATTTGGCTTCCAGATTGATGATATAGTCGTTCTGTCGCGAATGAGAGCTCATTATTCCGAGAATATATTAGTGGATCTAGTCTAGTATTGGCCGAGTCAGACGGAGGTGGTGAGGCGGTTGGAGATATCGACTGGATCTTTCGTCGCTTCACCGAGGGCTCTTTCCCTACTTTATTGTCCCATCTTTCATGGGCCAGCTCATGTCGCTTCAGAAGATCGCTTCGGGTAAAGGCTTTGGAGCATTTCGAACAAGGATGCGCGGGTAAGGCATCGTCTGTATTATTTATAATCAATCTGATGTTCTGTTGTAGCAAAAGTCTGAGCAGTATCTCTGACGACGAAACAAAGATAGAAAAGCCCGTTGAGGAAAAGCGTGAGAAAAGACGGGGGAAATTGTGCAAGTAGAAAACTTAAACTCAAATTCAACGGATGTTCTTGAGATTCCGGCTTAAACACTCGTTTGTTGCCAAAAAAAAATGTTTTGCAAGCTACAATCAAAGTAAGGAGTGATGGCGTGAGCTCTATTGTACTTCAAAACCAGGAGAAGCTGGGGTGCACGACAGGATGAACCTACGGGTTTTAAGATGACGGCTGAGATTCTCTCGTCGATTAAAACTTTTCGGACATTGTTGACAATGAAATAAATTGCTCGGTGGGCCTCGACTACCTTGAGAGGGGGTAGAGCAGGGAGAGAGCTCAGCTGATTCCGGGGGAATGTTTGCCGAGCTTTGCAGATCCATTTTGTGAGGTTGGAGTAAGTAAGTATCGCCTATCTTGAAGAATGTGGAGGTGGACAACGCGAGCATTTGATATTGGTGCATGTGGCATTCTTACGAAGTAAAATGTCCACGCGCTCCGCGAGTCAAGAAGACTTCCAAGGCTATAAAGACTGGGCTAGGATCTCTTGCTTGGTCGAAATTAAGTTCACGTGAACATCATATGACGTTTGCATAGTTCGACTAAACTGCCAAAACTGCCTTCATCACAAAAGAGTAGTCTGGGAGAGAAAGCCGGGGGTTGGACATAAGTGGGAAACTAATGGTTATGAAGGAGGTTGTCGGCTTGTGTACGGATGCATTGACCGACAACTGGTTTTGATCACTTGACAGCTCCTTCCTTGGCCAATCGTTTAGGGTTACTCGTATTACGTGCATGATATTGATAATTAGCTGCTTTCAAGTATAACAATAATAATAACAATAAGCTCTCAGAATTTTAAATCATTAACCCCCATTTCAGTGGTTAAACAAGCCTAAAACTGGCAGAAAAAGGCTAGAAAGGTATGTTTACAGGGGTTACAATAACTCCCCTTTAGCTCTTCTCCCTTGGTTAAATTTTTAAGCAAAATTCGTCTTTGATTCTTGACATTCCTACTTACTCGAGCCCAATCAGAACGGGCTACTCGGCACCCCTGAACCAAGCGAAACAACCAGGTAAGGTAGAACTCTATTGGAAGCCTTAGATTTCTATTAGCTACGAACCATTGAAGGTAAGTCTGCGCTCCCACTAGCGCTTCAAGGCCATTACAAAAATATCGACGAGGTTTTTCTGTTACACTATATAAATATAACAACTATGCTCTTGGGTTATATAACTACAATATCCCTACAATTGCTTCTGTTTCAAGGTTCCGGTAAACTATATTAGACGAGTATAGAGGTTTCATAGGAGAACAACCTGGGAATTCCGGAGTTCTGCCCCTACTAGTATTCGGCCATTAAACATTGAAACACCGAATATTTTCCGATGGTATTACTGTATCAGTTTCACTCAATTGAATGAACTATTCGTCTTTGCTCCTCGATCATCCAACCGCCACTTATGCAAGTCCTTCCGTTACAACTCCCCCACCCCCATACTACTTCTCTTAACCACTTATGGGTCGTTCTCGAAACTCTTGGGGCCCCAATACTCGATGAATCTTCCTAGATCCAGATACACTTTCTTAAATCACGCAATGACCGCAACCACCGCGAAGTCCATGACAAAACTACTTTCAATATTCCTTGAGAACGTGAAAACAGGCTAAGCGCGCGATGAAGCGTCGATTGGTTGATAGGTATCGCCAAATTTGTATATCCCTAAAATTATGTCTTCTCCTTTTCCAATCCGTCGGTCGTGAAAGTCCTTTTGACAGGAGATTGAAAAAAAGGGAGCTGAAAAAAAGGGAGCCAGTTGTTGAGCAGCATTGGAAACAGAGTATGTGGCTCAAGATAGGTAACGAGAAAAGATATGCCTAATCCGGGGGGGAAGGGGGGGATCAGAAAGAAATTAGAGATATATGAGGAATTCTTGTGGCCGAAGTGCAACCCTTTTACGAAACACTAGAATGGCCTCGATTGTTTTAGGCCGAATGAGAAGACGTCCCTTATTTCAAGGCTTCCGCATATCGACCTACAATAGATCCTTGAAAAAGTAACTTTCTTAGATAATCACACCACTCCCGAGGTTTTTGCGGTTGAATTACGGAGTAGTTGAAGGGTCCGGACAGCTCGGATCTCACCCATCTTACCTCCCCCCTTCACCCCCTTGTCACTTTCTAACATAGGAGAGTTGTCCATTAATCTAGACACACCCTGCGAATCTATTGTACTAGAACTCCTCATAAAATCAAATTAATTGTTATAAACGACCTCGGTTCCTGAAGGAATATTAATTTCAATTGTCCAAAATCATTTATAGCTATTTTAGTAATACGAGACCTTTAGGTTAATATCATTCTACCCTAGGTATGTTCAGAGCAATAATGACTTCTCTTACCACGTGGATCGGACCATCCAAGTGGCTTAGAGGCTTATATTGTAGGGTTATACCCTGCCTAGAATAAGTCGCTTACAGGGGAGGGGGAGACTCGAGCTGTCTAGACCCTTCAAATTTATCCTTGCTTCCTTACACCAACCAGCTCTCAGCAGCTAGGATTCTATTATATTCTAAGATCCCTCTTTGTAGGTAATTTATTCAAGATTCGCTACATTCATAATCTCTTACTTTTGGATTTTTGAAGCTGGAGCACAGTCCCAGGGAACATACCCCAAATTACAGAGCTTCTACTCATTCAAGTCGATACTCATGTAGAGAAAGCAATTCTGTTTTCGCGGTCGACCAGGCCAAGCTTAGCGTATGGAAATGGCATACACGCTGCATTACTGTCTGTCTGTTTGACAAATGCAACGTCACAACCTTTTACCTTGTGTGAATATATAGTACCTATGGTCTATGGAGGGCGGGACCTGTATAGTAAAAAATCCATTATTAGAAACAGCAGTATTGGCTCATGCTCCCCTCCCTTTGCACTGCCAATGATGCTAGCAAGAAGTGCAACCACCAAATTTTCAAATGTTGGGCTTTTGAACTTTCGACTTAGAACCGGCTGTTGAAACTCAGGAGCAAACTCAAGTCTTGTACATACGATAAGATAGAGCCTGAGCTAGAGGATTTAAAAAAGACAGCGGTTGTGCCTCCACATATGTTGTAAAAGGCTGATCATACAAGGAGTGCAAGCAGGTTCTAGATATGAATCAAGCAAACTTCAGACGTCCTTTTGGAGTAGATTGCTTAGTGGTCAATATTAGATACTCTAGTTGTCATCTTACCGTATGAACTAAAGTGACGAAGGTCGTGGCTTTGCAAAGTGGGAAATCACTCAAGCTCCCAACCGAGAAGTCACACTATCACTCGCAAAGGTCTTTTGACACTGTTTTCAGCAACAAGTCACGAGACAAGTTGGAGATAGAGATGCCGTTAACGCAGGATTATCATTCTCACTGTTGACATGGTAATAACCTCATAGGCAGCTGAAGATTAGTTAGTTTCTCAATCACATCGGAAACGGAAACAGAAAACAACCACAACGCCACTCAAGCCCTCTATTTTGCGGAGTCTAACTATCTCATTCTGATATTCCATCTCGTTTCTCGTCTCAGGAAAGCTTGAGATTTGACGAGAATCACGGTTTTCCAGGTACATAGGACGTTGAGGGAATAGATGCCTCGTCCTCTTTTGTCATCATGTTGGTCGTTAATTTGTAAGATCTTAGATCTGGGTACATAGGATTTGAGGAACGAGGATGTATACTGTAACCGATAGGGGAGGAATATTTTTATTCGTGATTGCCTTCTGGATTGCTTCTATGGGGTTTAGGGAAAGTCCAAATTAGTTGCAAGAAGTATCAATATAGTGATTTGAGTGGTTTGAAAGAATCGAAACACCTGCACCTTTTACTATACTATCCGAGAGTCTTGGGACAAGAAAGATTCAACAAATATTTTCAACTTATTAAATCATAATCTAAGAGTTTTAATAGTACTCCGAACGACGGACCCATCTCCATTTCTATGTCCAGACCCAGAAGTTCCACAAGATCCCGCTTCGGCGGAGTACAGGGAATGGCGGAAAGGAGGGACAGTACGTATTTCACAACACAGGACTTCAGTGCATGCAAGATCTCCATGGGAAACTATCTGTAGAACATGTCAGATTACAGACAAATTCCATCTGTTCTCTGGAATCTTCTATCTGCGGCGATCTGTAGTAAGTAGTACTAGGCACCTAATATTGACCGACGTATTTGAAGACTTGAACTCCTGGCTTCTGTAGCTACCGGCTCATTACAACCACTTCTTGACCCACGTCTACTTCATCTACATGCGATTTACTCATGGGGCAAATGTGGCTGACGAACTGCTTTTTGGTTATGTCTGGTATGATGCAGTATTTATGATTTTATGATTTGATAAGTCCGACGGCGGTAAGAGAATCGAGGTTTTTGCCTTCAATTGTTCCGGGATTTGATGTAGGTAGAGTCTCCTCTTGAGACCGTGTTCTTCGTTTGCGCCTATTTCAAATAAGGAGCCGCTCTGCCCTTCATCACGGGTCGATGTATCCAAATAGGCCCCGGATTCCCATGGCCACGGCGAGACTTTCTTCTCCATCTTAAAGCATCAAGACCAAGATTGCTGGTTTCTTCCAGCAGAGAATATGGATATATCTTCAAGCTGATCAAAGTCACTCCAAATCCACAGGTTTAGCCTTCTGAAAAGATACCATTTCTGTGTTGTTTCAGGGCTCCTCAATCCCCATCGCTGAACCCTTAGCAAAAGCTATCAACCCATGAACCAACCGCTTCGTAGCACGCTTCTGAGGGCTATTCTCCTCCTGCTGACCTGGGTAGATGAATTTCACTCTCCCCTCAGCACCCAAAACAAAGGCATCGCATGCAATCCGGGTATTCTTAACTCTGTCGTGGGTCAAATCCATGGCGAGATGCTTATTGACATAACCAACCATCGCGTCAAAGAATGGCGCATTCCCCGTCGTATTCCGCATCTTCTTGCCCATGGCAATAATCCGCGGCAAATCTTGTTGGGTCAGTTTCATTGTTATGCTCTTCAGTGCAGCCGATCCACCCGGTACCTCAAACCCTATCTGTACTTCCACTGCTCCGATCACTTTTTTGATCGTGCGGCTACTCTCGGCGTCACTAAGGGGTTCGCCATCCTCCCCTATACACACGTATGTGACATACTGCTCAAAGGACTCCATAATATAGTTATTCGGGAATCGAAGGGCCGATACTCTCGCATCGAACGTAGTTGCTAAAAACTCGACAAATGTATCTCGTAGGGCAGGCGGCATCTTACACAACAACAGTGGAAAACTCTCAAATCCATCTTCCACCTTCCCAGCGCCCAATGTATTATCCCAAACATTCCCCGTCGTATCTCGTAGCATTACCGCCGTATATTCCGATTTCTCATATGTGATTGTGAGCAGGAGTCCCCGACTTTCGTCCAGCCCCGTGCCCGTATCTTCATCATTGTCGATATTTTCCTCATTGTGTTCGTCCCATCGCTCCTCGTATGGTAAAGGTCCCCAGACCACGCTTCGCAGTGCGCCTGCGGTGCCTACCACGGTCGAATCGGGATCCAAGCCAACTTGTACACCTCGGAGTATCCCTCCTGCTAGTATGTCGCGAAACTTTCGGGCGAGGTTTTGTAGGTCGGCGCGTTCGAGGGGGTGTTCGAGGCCGGTGTAGAGGGGTGAGGCGCGATGGAGCGTGAGAGCTTTCTCGTAGAGCGGATAGATGGGAGATGAAGCCATTTTCAAGGAGATGGTTTTCTGATAATTAGAAATTAGGTTGTGTTCAGGGTACACACCATTGTGGGAGATATTTGGCGACGTTGATGTTGAAACTGGAAATCCGTGGAACGCGCCTGATATTTACAGTACTGTATGACGTCGGGCCGGTTGTTGTTCGGGTTTTCATTCCCTCACTTACGAAACGAGTTCTCATAGAACTTAATTCCTGATTCCGAATTTTGTATATTTCGGTCTATCGAAACTTCAGAGGATAGAAACCGGTAATTCAATTTGATTTCGTCCGTTACTCTTACTCGAAAAACCAATTCACAACATCATCTTCAGAAAACAGAGACAGCTGGCTACAGGGTGACTGGTAGTCTTCATTGCGGTTCCGAAAGGCAAATTTACACATAGATGTATCCTGTTATAGGATGCGGTATTACCATCATTCAAGGCCTCCTATTATATTAAGGTTCGAAGCTTTGAAAAGAAAGTTGGTGTCATCAAAAAGTTGTAGAGATTCTTCATTAGGAGTTATAGCTAGCCATTTTAGATAGGTATATTCTTCCTATCTAACTGGCTGGAAGCATCCGTTTGAGATTCATGAGTTTGCTGCAGACAACTTGAGCCCTTGAAAGGACGGGTCCAAAGGAGTATGAGTAATGGCTTCGCTCCGCTGCTGAAACAAATAATACACAACATAACAGTTCGAAGAGGAGCACACCGAACAGCTCAGTTCTCTCGTAGCTTAAGCTAAGTTCATTATTCAAGCTTAATTAGTAATCAGTATATAATCGTTAATTATATAAGGAGACGGATTTTATCCACAATGCCTATCGACGATGTCTGAACTAAAGGTTTTCTTGTAACTTAAGCAAAAGCTTTTCTCTCAGAAAGGCGAAGGGCTGGGCGAAGGGGAAGCGAATCACAAACTCTCTTCGTATACATGCGAGCTGCATGTTGCTTCATAGAATTGCATTACTACTGTCGTGACGTGACAATGAATGATGATCACTAGTCAGGGGTTAACCAATTTCGCTTGCTTGCTACTATAGAGATTCTTGAGAGCGATACTCATGTTCTAAGCAGGATCTTCGGTTTAGTTGTCTTACGTTGTTCCAGTTTAGGAGAAGCCAAGGTCAACTCGTACAGTAGAAGCTTGATGGAGATGAGGAAAAGTTGGGGAAACAGGAATCTAATTGTTTCTATCTTGAACGTAATCCTCCTGGTGAGTTTATTTGAAGCCACACCTTGTGATCATCCCGTCTTAGCTTCTTTGTGAATTAAGGGATAATTTACCTAGACCTAAAAAGTACAATGCTAGGCTCAATGAACAAGAACTTAGAGCAGTTCGCTTGGATTTTAAGTGAAGGTAAAGAAGTAGAATATCTTGAAGTTCGCTTTTTTGGCTAGCACCATGAGTTATGTGGGTATCCCATAATTCAGTTGTAATAATATACAAACATAAGATCTCCGGGACAACTTTGAGATCAGAAGATGCTAAGAAAGAGCTTAGTTTTAGATGAGAGCAGGAACCCTTATATAACGGTAGAAGTGGATACCCCTAAGCTTAGCAGAGGGACCTGCGTGAGCCACTTTTAACGTGTTACACGATTCAAGTATACTTCTCGATAGTACAGCATCTTTTATACTTCTAAAAGTTTTGAAGTTCTTTCCCCACCTTTATCGGCAAAACTCTGCCATTTCCCCCACAAACAAGCTTAGCCCACACTTTGACCAGGCAATCTTAGGTATTATTAGCCCACAAACCCACAAACATAATTGGATTGCCAAATAAGTCACTTCCTAACATGAAAGCACAACAAACGGTCGGGTGGTGTAGTTGGTTATCACATCTCGTTAACATTTCACATTGTTGGCAATATTCCGAGAAGGTCCTGGGATCGAGCCCCAGCCTGATCAAAAGAGCTCTCTTTTTTGCCAGTTCTTGATATATACAACTCTCCCATATCTAGTTTCTTTCTGTCTTCCAAGATCCTTTCAGCCATTTGTTGTTAAAGATATCTAGATCCATACTGCGATTGAACGAAAATTCTGTATTATTGAAATAATTGTTCAATATATTTTCAAATATTCCCATCTATTCAAAGAGCTAGCCAAGGGCGAAGGGAGCGTCTAATAGGACAACCTTGTAGATTCGATTGGAGATACCGCAGGGTCTCAGGTAGCTGTAACAGGAATCTCGGCTAATCTAGGGGAGCCGAGAGGTCCGCAACAAGCACCTTGCACCTTTCGATGCTGTACTTGAACATAAACAATCATTAGTCCATCATTTTTCGCTCAAGTTCTAATGGCTAGGAAGCGTCGCAGAGTGTGATAAAAGGGAGTGTCGGTACTTGATAAGTCACATGCTAAGCAATCGCAGAGCAACCATGAAAAAAAAGGTTTGGCAGATATTGAATGAACTTGAAAGATTGCCAGAGGAGATATCCCGGCTGACTTTGACTGACTTGAACAATTCAAGAAAGGTTTCTTGGTTAATGAATCTCTGATTAAGCCACCATCCAGGCTACTATCTACCATTTCTTTTTGCATATTTCACTTGCAACTTAATTGCTAGCAGGGAGTAGGCTTTTCGTGGTTAGAGAACCTTGCTACTAGAGGTATACAAGCCACGCAGATTCATTATTTAGACTCGCGCAACGAACCACTTATATGTAAAATAGGAAATGGTATTTAACAAGTAAGGCGTACGAGCAAGTTGCCACGAACATGCTACAATTCAGGCAGTCAGGGGCTTTAAGCACATCTTGAACAGCCTTTGTGAGGAAGTACGTTCCCGTTTTCAAGAAACATCTACTTGATGTATAGTATCGTGGTCGTATCAAAATTTATGTCACATTTTGAAACAATTACGGATTTTCATGCCCGTTGGATTAGATTATTTGGCCGGATTATTTCGAGATTATTTTATAATCCTAAAATAATCTCGTAATCCAAACACATCAGTATATTTTTGGGATTATAAAATAATCCTAAATAATCCCAAATAATCCCACACCAAAATAAAATCAACTCCTCAAACGAGTAGATTTTGGGATTATTTATCCCTCACGCCTATACCTATACTTTATTACTACCACTTCCACTACCACTTCCACCACCACCCGCCTACAACTCCTCCTTCTCTAGTCACTTTTACTTACGAAATCAAGAATTGTAACGCTAAAGCGCCCTCTTCATACGGACCCCCCTCCCTCCCTCGATCTTCAACGGCTAAGTACGTCAGTGACCTTCTAAATTATAACAACTATACTGCCGCGTACTTAGAGTAAGCCTCTGAACCTTCACGGCCTTCGCGATACTAACGTACACACTGAAAAGGTACGATAACAATTGTATACAAGCGTAAGGTGGGGTGAATCTGGGGATACAAGGGTACTTGGAGGGCTTGAGGTGCTTATTAATCTGTTACTAAAAACAAAATAATCTGGGATTATTTTGGTACAAATAAGCTTAATATAATCCTAAAATAATCCTAAAATAATCCCGCCGAAATAATCTAATCCAAACAGGCTAAGCGACCTTCTAGTGCCAACAAAAGTAGCAAAATGCTTTCCTATTAGCCTGGTTCAATTTCAATGACTTTGTTATTCTACTTATTTCGAATCATGGAAGGAAGTAACAGAAAATCCTGGCACAATCAAAGGCATTGTTCTGAATAACATAGAATAATTGCCAGCTTGAAATCAAATTACACAAAAATAAAGAAGAGTGGTTAGTTTTCGCCGCCATTCTTGTCAACTAGCAAGAAGCTTATGCAAGACGCTTGGCTTCGCTAAACGGTTCCTACCTCTATCTTTCATGTGAGGAGCTCTGTTTTCACCTGCATCTAAGCTCTTCAAAACGTTGTTGCCCTAACATATATCCTCAAAGCTTATATATTATACACCAAGGGTCAAAGAAAAGACTCACACCCTGAAATTTATACCCTAATGTATCTCTCAGACTCAGTCGAATAATAGCTCCGCAAAGCGTTTCTTGGCCTCCTCCGGGTCCCAGTCAACCAATATCCTCTCTGTCTTATCCTCCATTTTCCATTGCACAAAAGGTTCCATAACCTCTCTCTCTTTCTCACTCAACAAATCTACCCTGGTCTTCCATAGGTTGTCTTTGGCAACACCATCCTTCCTCTTCCCGAAGAACCTCTGATCCAAATACTTCCAAAATACCGTGTCGAACGCCCAACTATCTTTCGCCGCATAATCAAGCCAAAATCGACCAGTCTTCCAACTCTCGCGCATGTGTGTAGATAATAAGAATGTCAGGTTCTCGGAGCCAGCATTTTCTTCCTTCTCATCTTTCTCCATGGCAGACAAAAAGGTTCTCAGACGCATCCCATAGACCTTACACCAGTCATCAATACCCGTGTTCCACATCTCGGGTACTTCGAGGAGTAGCCACCCGGGACTATCAAGAGCAAACTGTGTAGGTGCAGCATATGTGAGCTCCCAGTCGATGACTGCAGCCAGCTCGTCAGAATCATCAATCAGCATATTACCAGGTCTTAAGTCATCGGCCCAAAGCGTGAAAGAGTCCACATTACTTGGTGCTGGTGAAAGTTTGGAAGTCCAAGTTTCAGATTGTGCTGACCATTTGTCATTCGAGAATCCAAAAATTGAAAGTTGACGATCTTTTGCAAGTCCTCGGAAGATTTGTCGTGCCACCTATTTGTCTCGACAGTCATCCTCGCTCTTTACAAGATCATTGTGTTGAAAGATGAGCTGTGCTATATGCATTTCTGCTAACGCAACATACCATTCATCAGCCGTACTGTATGTTTTGCTTTCAAGCGGAAGTACTGAACGCGGGATGTTTGCAAGTTGTAGCATATTGTTCATGTTTTTGCACAGAGGCCGCCCATTGATCGAGAAAGTGTTGTCATCACCTTCTGAGAGCGATCCAATGCGATTGAATGAAAGTCGTGAGAGCCGCAATAGGCAAAAAGCCGCTTTTTTGTAAAACTTCTCCAGCAAACTCTCTGAGATATCAGGGTCCAAAACCGCAGGTATATCAGGGTTTTCTCTATGTGCGCAGATTCGAAGGCTCATCAATCCACAATCTGAGATCCTCTCAAGAATCATGAAGGGACCAAGTTCCGACTCATCGCCATAGTAAAATACTTTTGGAGTCGGAATCTTGGTATACTGCTTGACATATCTTGCTGTGGCACCTTCATAGACACTCTTCTCGCTTTGAAATTGTGACACATCGTGACAAGGTAGCTGCACAAACACACCCGAAGCCATTCCTTCAACTTCAATCTTAAACAAGATATTGAAACCACCGAGAAGCACAGGCGGCGAGAAGGTTGCTTCGTTGTCGAATTTGGCTCCCGCAATTGAAGCTGCAGTTTTGGATGTGCTAATTTTCAGAAGTCGTGCCTGTGATACTTCCCAAGCTTCGTCATTTTTGTCCCATGCCAGATTATCCAGATCTTCTCTCGCGTCGTCGTCATCGTCTTCGATCACAAGCTTTGCAATATTGAGTTCGTCATTCATGATGAAAATTTGATTGACACACAAAAAGCATAGCTGATCTGCGTTCAGGCAGAGAATCCAAGGTCCTGTGGATGTGTTTGGGGAATGTTGCTTTCTACTCACGTGACCCAAGTGTGCCGCAAAAGAAACCTCCATGTAATCACCCCATTGGCGAGCAACAATGACAGTACCTACCTCGTCCCTGCCTGGGTATCCATGAGTTCCGGACAAAGTTTCCTTTGACTCACCAAGAAGTTGGTGTTGGTAGAAGTCGATACCAATAACATGTACTTTCCGAACGCATTTGTGATTTTGTGGATACCACTAGCGTTGTTTGCAGCGCTTCCGTGGCAATCAACGATGTACTGACGGGCCGTAAGTAGCTGATGATCAGTGATAGGAGTTAGGGTAGTCGGTTTAAGCGCAGGGGACAGCTTCCGATACTGGAAATATTCAGATTTGATTATATATAACGTTGGAGATTCAGCGATCAAATGATACGGAGTTTTAACCGAGAGCCTAAGACGCTATCCCCTGGACAATATACATTTTTTTAGCAGAGGAAGAGATACATGAGATACTGGCACAGGCTTAGTGCTTTTGAAAGTAGAAAAACGATAGATGAAAACCTTAGAGGTGGAGGCGACGGCCTGGCTCACACAAAGGACCAACAACTCAAGGTCGCTCACCAACAACCGAGCTGAAGCTCTAAGCTGAGGCGTCCTTTCAATTGGCGAGGCATTATCCCGAGTACGTTTGGTGATCAGTTTGATATGAGGAATGTTGGTGATGGAATTTGGGAGAACGACAATGGTATAAAAGATAGAGTATCTTTTTCATTTGTGTCATGAATTCATCAATTCGAAGTCATCAAAACAAAGTCCTCAATTCATTCATATTATACCTCAAATAAAACCGAGACACAGCTTAACCAGTCTCCTACCTTGGAAAATTACCTCGGGTTTCGCTCCACTCTCCACTTCTACGCCCACCTTCTATAACTCCACATATAAACAGGTAAGATTCTTAATGGTGCCTAAAGTGCCCTTATTCATGACCTTGAAAGGTTTAATCTACCGAGAATGTCATCTTCTAAGAACGACGAAAGAAACAGCAACAATAGCCTCGAGACAGGGATTGCTTCGGAGGATCTTATGTCTAATGCCGGAGACTTCAGCAAAAAGAGACGTGACGAGGTTGCTGCAAAAGCAGAAAAAGCAGAAAAAGCAGCAAAGAAGAAGATGGAAGACGAAATTCGAGCAGCGTACGAGGCTAACAACGCCGTTGGTGAAACTGGAAATAATAGCAAGCAAAAAAGGCGGGGGAAGGGGAAGGATTGTTTGGAGGTTTTCTATGCGTCAGGGCAGATTCCTAGTCTGTGGAAGTCTGCTTGCGTTGATTTAGTTGTCTGCTTATATATTGAAATGCTAGCAGTACTTTCCTGTCGTTATTCTAGTAAACATGGGACGGCTGAGATCTACAAAAACTTGGTAATTTTATACAAGAAGAGTCTCTTATAAAATATGTGTTCATTACTCGGCAAACAACTTGCTTAGAATAAATATATGTGGCTTAGAATGATTACAGGTTCTTAAATTTCATGAAAGCTACGTATACGAAGACAAGTGAATTTCTTGCCCTAGAAGCTTAGTATAATAAGTATTTATGGTGTTCCGTATTAATTAGATTATAAGATATCATGCACGAATAAGATATTACTACGTTTATAGATATAATTCTATATAGTCCGAAATACTAATGTCTTGTAAATCTAACTAATAAGAAGGCTAGAATCTCAAATCGACAATTTTATATTATTTTTCAGACGCTTTATTTTATAACACAACTTTGGCTAAAACACTTATAATTATAGTACTAGATGCCCAAGAGTATGTTTCAAAGTTAAGCTACAAAAAAACCACATATAGATTTTATAAAAACTGAAGCTATTCCCAGATACTCTGTATATTGCCTCTTCTTAAATTGATTCTAGGACCTATTTCTTGTCCTATTCTTCCTATAGGAATATACTTAAATCATAGGTATAGAATAGGTTAAAGTAATAGTCGATTAGATGCGGTTAAAAGTAAACATTAAGGTCGGGAGAGAGGCTAGGAAACAGTAGTAAAAAGTAGGGCAAAATTATTTGATAAAATATTAGTTTTTATATAAAATATGGTTCAAATAGGCCTTTGGACAGATTTTCTATTTGAATATTGATATCTTATAATCCAATCAATACGGTATACAAAGTGATGACCTGATGTCTTACTATTCTTAGACCATAGTGATCTGTGACATTGTGTTAATATTGTTTGCTAAAAACCCCACGAATGGACTGAAATAATGCAATCATGTTTCTCTGATAGGATTTCTGTATCGACATAGCATTTTCTTACACGCCTTGTCGCATGACCGCTAAGTCTATCAATCTCTCAAGTAGAAGATTGGCTCTCTTTTCAGCTGTAGATTATGTGGGACAAGCCGGAAATATTAATAGAACAAACCTGTCAATACCGGCACGTAGTGGACAAAAAAGCGGCTGCAAACAAGCTCTTATTCATAAGCGAAACCTGGCGACCAACGAAAAGCTCGAAATTGATCTTGCCGAGAAACTCTCAACTTCACTTATACATTGCTCACATACCACCATCTTCACAACCACAAAACGTGAAAGAAAGCTGTATAAAGTCATTTATCTTCGCAAAGAAATAAAATCTTGAGCAAATCGAGAAGTTCCCGGCGACACTAAAGCCCGATTACGGGTAATGTTCCACACCATACATCTTGCAAAACCACGTATGACCTTCTTCCGCAGAGAAAATACCTACTTAGACGTCAAATGCCATCCCAAGTATGATATACATGGCCCGTGTGAAGGCGTTGCGAGAATGATAACCGAGATAGACAGAACCATCTCCCCCTTTGTCTTCTGGCCTCGGCTTAACTGAAAATTCGTGAAAAACCAATTCCATATGTGCCTGGATATATTGAAGAGAATTCGATATGGAAGCGACCATGCTTCGCCCTCCAGAAACGTATATCCCATCACTTAAGCACTCCTGTCAGTATCTAGATACGATATAGCACTATATCAAGATTCCCAAGTCCCATAACCATAAGTGGCAATCAATTCATCCACTGTCAACCCCTTGTTCACATGATGATCTTCCCCCCTTTCTTCAAGCTTAGCTGCTTTCTTTTCTACTCCTCTGCCCCTGGTATGTTTCAAAGTTTTGGCAGTTGCTGTCTTCTGAACTCCACCCGAAATAACCATTTTGGAACTGTGGGTGGTTCTGCCAGCAACGGAAGACATTCGGGTTTGCTTTTTGAGATGAGGAGGGTTCGCTTGAGAAGCATGCTCTTCGGAGTAGTGGGAATAGATCTCTTCACTTGGCTAGGAGGTATGTCAGATGTACTAGCAACCGTATGTACTTCTTTCATAGCAGAGGCAACTGTCTTCTCCAACTCAGAGATTATCTTTGTCTTCGTATCTTCTGCCTGGATCCTCCTTCCGCTAGAGGATCCAACGGTAGATTCAAGCGACCTGAGTTTGGGTTTCAATCTCTGCCGCCGGCGAGCATTCTTTAGCTGGCGCGCAGTAAGAGGAAGACCTTGTGGGACGGAAGCTTCGCGATTGCCCTCTCCAGTTGGCGGCTTGCGAGGAGCAGATAGCTTTGGCGGCTGCAGATAATCAGGATGCTTCAGAGTCCCCGGTGGATATCTCTTGTTGAAAGTTAATATATCACCCCACACTGGATCCGCAACCAATGTCTCATCTCTAACCTGAACCTGGTGTTTAAACGTCGCCAGAAACCCACGAGCTTTCATCCTCAGTGTATAATCTGCGGTCCATGGACGATATAGACTCTTCGCGAAATCCATTATATAGCGATAGTCGATGCTTACTTTCAAAGGAGGTCGGTTGTGGCGGCATATTACGATAAAGTACAGATCGGACGTGCTTGTATAGGGATACTTGCATGCTTGAGGATCGCGATAGTTGTGCATTGTCGTATTACACGGTGGGCATCCAGTCATGTAGCCTTTGTTGTCGATCTTTTTCATGCAGAATTGCATTCTGTGGCCGACGCTTCCACAGTTGTTGCAGAAGGCGTTGATTACTCTAGTGCTCTGGATGGCATTCCCAGCGCCTTGTGTAGGAGTGCTTCCATTTGTTGTGTATGTATTCGCGGATTGCTGATACTGGAGAACATTGGGTTGCTCGAGGGCATTGTTTTGAATGAAGGCGTATGCTTGCTGGCTGTGCTGATGTGGCGGATACACCATTTCTCCCGTTTCCTGAAACACAAATTGGGCTTGGATATACTGTTGATTATATACTTGAGGTTGAATTGTGGCTGCTGGCATCATCTGGTGTCCTTGACTTGGCCAATGGCCCCATTCATCCCCATGCTGGTTCGCTTCCTGGGGATTTGGATGTGTGCCATTTGGTCGCGACCACATTATGAGAGCTGTATGGTCTTTGCTTGAAGGAAAATCGTACTTGATGCAAAGGATAGTTGTGAAGATCCGATCTAATGGTTGAACTTCAATTGACGATGCACGCAATTTCAGCAAAAGGTATGCTGAACCTTTTCCGACAAGACTACAAAATCTCGCTTAGCTGACCAAGCAAATGTCAACACCCAAACCAAAAATGTGGGGAATATGCTCACTACTCCAGAATTGGCTAGATCAAATCTCCCCCGGTTGATATACAAACAGTAGGATAGACCTAAACAACACTTCCCATCTATATCACATTACTTATTATAACACAATAAGAATTCTCCAAACTCAACGAATGGGAAAGGCAAAACTCAAGGCTGTCTTCCTTCTGGTTCATTCATGTACCAGAGGAAGGAAAATTGGATCGATCCAATTGAATTCCAGAACTATGGAGATTTGAAGAGTAATCATCTTTTACCGCTGATGTGTTAAGCCTACAGAAGCCAGATATATTGGCAAATTCTGCACGTTTTAATATCTAATGACTTCCAGTTTGCATCCATAAACTTGCTTCCATAGATGCGCTCATTTGAAATGGAAGGCGGTGAATGAATGATTGCTTGATGCAGTAAAGATGTATTGGCAGGTGGTAATATATTGATCATTGAGGGTTTGGTCGGAATAGAGCAGTGCGAGCACTAACTGTGCTAGCTTGTACTCTAGGGGACTCTCAGAGTCCACTTTAGGCACGCCTTTTCCTTTATTTATTTTGTTCTATTTTTTGGACTGCTGTTGCTTAAGTTAAGGTGGTTTTTGGGGGGTGTTGTAAGTGGAGGTTGACGTGGGGTGCTGCTTTAGTGTCGGAAAAACCAGGAAAAACCATATCGGTTGTAAAGGAGGCAACGCCGCGACGAACTTCTCCTTCAACCCTGTGATTGTCTGTCGCGTTTCTTCCCTTGGGCATCTACAACAAAATTTTCAATCTGCGTCCAGCAGCGCTCTGCCAAGTCAACCATGGCGTTGAAAGTGTCGCATATCATTGATATGTTCGGCAAATTCCTCAAGGATGAGACGATTCCCCTGGAGAAGAAAACCATTGAAAAGTTCCAGCAACTCGTCGGCGCCTGCCAATTCATTGCTTTGACGGAGCTTCAAGAGCTCGTAGAGCTGCCTCCTACTCTGTTGTTGTTCTATCGAGCTGAAGTCGTTCTGTGGGGAACCTTTTGTTAGTATGGTCTATAACGAGTTCCTACTTCACAAAGCTAACAGCCACAGGGCCTGATGAGAGTTTCCCATGGTCTGACGATGGTCTCGACAAAGAGTTCCAAGATCTCAAAGGCGGCCATTTCAAAGAACCTACTACAGAAGTAGAGCCTCAAACACCATTCGAACAAACCACCAACAAAGCCTGCCAACTCATCGTCATAACTGATCATGATTCATCTGGTGTAATTACTGAGAAACCAGATTCGTCTGACACCGTCGCAGCCTTGTCGCATTCCACTATTGATGCCAAAACGCAAACTCTTGGTATTCAGCCAGCTGCTGCTCAACCTACCCTATCCCCCGCTACGCTACAGAATCATGCTGTTCCCAGAGATGTTGAGGAAAAAGAAGCAGAAATGTTGAGAGATCAAATCACTAGGTCAATTCGCGCAAAGGGTGCTGATGAGAGACTGCCAGAGTGGGCTCCCAATGGCGCCCCACTCCGTTCTGTCCGCTTTCCCGTCGATAACTTCAGTCTCCTCTACTTTGGTTTCAAATACAACAAATCATCTCTTTCAGCAAAGGTTTCACCAAAGCTCAACTTGGAGCATAACTACTGGAAGAGCGTCTTTGTTCTTCGTGCGGCTGATGTGATGCATGGAATTCATCGTGTCCATTATATGTGGATTGAGTTCTCTGATGCTTTCCAACATCTGGCGAAGATTAAGGAGTGGGCTTCTGAGATGAAGAAAATGGAGCTGTTTTTGTTTTACTTGCTGAACAATCTCATCAAGCGTCAATCTGACGGCGGCTTCACACTTGCGCTTCCCAAGGTTGATACAGCGTGGAAGGGTTTCGTTCAAGCAAGATATAACATTGGAAAGCCTGCGCTGAAGATTGAGCAACTCACTGAGGTGAAGGACTTGGTGATGGTTGGCAACACTGAAAGCAAAGAGAAGACCCTTGGTGGAGAACAGTAGATTCTGCAAGAGAAAAGAGATACCAGTGTAATGAACCTACGTTTCTTTCTCGTCTGTCAGATGCCGTATCATTAGTTCATGGTGTCTAATAAAACAATACATCAATGATTATTAAAATATCTTTGAAGTGTGAAAGGTGGGCTATCTTAGACTGAAATCTTGATCTGTAATCAGGTGCTGCTTAACTTTAGCTAAACTTCCACAACAAATCGGCCGTCCCTAGAAAGTTATGTTTTCACCACCTCTTTCAAACCAATGTGATAAAAACATCCTGAGTATCCACCTAAAGGATACGATATCACCCATGCACAACTGGTCACCATATGGTACTAACCATGGGCGTAACAGGGGCTAAATCACAGACCATTAGTCAAGAGACTCAAGTATCCATCTATACACACCTAGCTTACAACACCATTATTTTAAAAACCTCAGGTTACTAGAATAGTCATACGAATGCTTTAGAATAATCTAAACTGATCTGTCCTTATTAACCTGAGTGATTTGAGACAATTAAGTTGATTGTTCCCAGGAATTTACCACAATAGGTTCGTAGAGTGTGTGCAGGGTAATAGACACGTATTACGAGTCAAACCTGATGTTGATATTTATCAAGCATAGGGGATAGGACGAAATCATACCATCTACATGAACATGAGGAAATCTTCAACACTACTATCTTCAGCTTCAGCACAACTTCGGAACCTATTCGCCACCTAAAATTCTTACAGGTTTGTTGTCCTATCTTGCGGAGAGAAAATTGTGTTACTTCTTTTGTAAATGCGATCAAATTTGTGACTAACATGGGAGCCAATTTTAGGCAGGGAAGGAGCGATTCTTACGGTTCAATAATTATCTCAATGAAGCATTGAAGCTTCGCATGAGTGACTCACAGGTTCTTGTTCAAGGACCGTAGAAGTCAGACCACAAACGTTTGGCCAAAATATATGTTATTGAGAGCTTAACGCAACCCCAGGTTGGTACAATCAATGAAGGGGTGCAAACACCACAATGAGAGAACACCGTTGGCGGCTTTACTATGATACAGATGGACTCTAATCCGCTAGAAGAGTTGATATGTCATGAAAGATATGCGAAGTTCTTCCTTGTGATTACAACGCTGGCAATTGAAGTCGTGAACTTCATTGTGTGTTAGTTGTTGAAGCGGGGGATTTATGTGAGATGTGGAGACTTCCACGCTCGTAGAGACGAAATTGATTGGGGGATTATGAGCACTGATGGCATATTTAAATGATGTGGCTGATGTTTGGTAGTTGAACTGAAGTGGCTCTGTATGTATCTTGGGATTGGAGTGTTTACACTGGAAATGTATACTATTGGGCTACAATACGCATAATTCAGTTACACTGTTAGATAGCTGACTAGAAGCTCTAAGGCCACTTCCCTTTTCTCTGAACTATGTATGACCTAAGAACTTTAAATGTGCTGTGATAGGGTGGGGTGGGAATGGGGGCTATCTGAAATCCATGCTTATTCCTCTTCACGCTATGGTTTTTGTTCCTAGGTGTCGTCGTTTGTACTGTAGTCATGCACCTGAAATATAGTGTCAACACAAGGCTAACATGAGTGTGCTTGGAAAATAGATATGAGTTGAGAATCACATTTGAGCCATACGCACTGAAATGACGCTGTTTCTCGTCTATCGTTGGTAACACATTTATACTTGAAACAACACGTCTAGTTTACATAAACTTCTTTCTAATAATGTCCCCAAAAGTCAACGTCAATTCATCCATTCGGTGGAATCGAAAATAATGAGCAGTATATTTATGCAAGTAGGAAGCCAGAGAGAAAAGGAAATGGGCACCTCAGGAAACTAGAAGTTCTCATGTGATATGAGTCATTCAAGACACGTTAGTGGCAGAATAGTTTTCCGCTGGTGATTTTGCGACCGAACTAGTAATAATTGCGTAGATATTCGTAATTTCTACAGGCACAAAATCAGAGAACCCCGCTGAGTCACTCTGTCACCCATACGTCTTTCGTTCAGAACGCCGAGTTTACCAGATATCAAATTACCTTCCCGACTCTTCTATTCACCCAATCTTTAGGTACTAGACACACCATCACATACAAAACAAACTTTGAATCTCAGCCAATTCAAACCAGCCATCAACTTTTCAACAACATGGAAATAACTGATCCAGGCCTCGGGATGTTTTCCCTTCTACCATCAGAAGTTCGGAGAATGATATGGAAGCACTTCACACCCCACCTCCATGTCGGCCAGTCTCTTCCCAGGAAACCAAATCGCTTCACACCTGAACAGCAAATGCTCCTGACAAGCCGCAAAATTTACGCAGAGCTAGCCAGCGAAGTTCCTTCTGGTTACAATGGCCACAGAATCCTTTTCATCGTCAGCCCTCAATACCGAAACAAACCATGGATTCAAGCAGTAAACTATAAAGGAGGTGTTTCAGGGGTGCGATGGTATCTCAAGGACCTAGAAGATGCCACTTCAAGGGGTTTCGATAAACTACCTTGGGAAAGATTGAATGTTCAAATCCATATATTGGCACCTCAAAAAGAAGACGCTGGACAAGTCCTTTGCCTCAATAAGAAGATTGTGGATCTTGTTCAGATGCTGAAGCAAGCGAAGAGGTTTCGATGTTTCAATATCGTTTTCGAATATACAAGGGATGCCAGTTGGTTTGACAATGGCCGGCCGCAGTGTTCGATAGATCTAGGACGATATAATAACGATGACCATTACGATTATGAGTATGTCCTCCCACTGTTCCTACAGCTCCGGACCGCAGAAAGGGTTAATATCCGTTCTAACGAAACTTCCAAAATAAAAAGGTGGAAGAAGCTGAGAATGAGGGACGCATTTACCCAGACGCGAAAAGTCATAAAGCAAAAAGGTCTGAGGCAGTCTGAAGACGCCAAAATACAAAAAGATGTTGAATCCCTCGGTATAAAGGTAGAGGAAATATAGGATAACCTGCCATCAAAAACGGCAAATATGCTTCGGCTCGACCTCTTCAGCGGCTGGTATACAGACAAGCTACATGGCGAGTCGCCCTACGAGGATAAGATGAAGAAATTAGTACTGGAAATGAGGGTCAAACTGGCCAAATTGCACCAACGGTACCGGATGATGAGGGCGCATAATCCACTGTCGCTTGGATATAAAGGCGTTTTCCCATGGATTGTCGAACGACCCAAGCCCCAGGAAATGGCCGCAGGAGGCTGGAATCGAGATGTATGGCACTCTGTTTACAAAAATGGAATTCCACCTCTAAACGACAGGAATATGACTCTGATGTACTATGAATGGGAAAAGGAATACAACAGCTCAGATAATGGACGGGAGTTTGTGAATTTACATGGATTCTTTTCTTGGGTCTGTGCAGAGGATTTGGGACATGACTTTATTTATTATGTGTAGAGTTATATCACACGGAATAAGAAGACCAAAAAAGGCAAATTGTATAATTGTTTCCGCCTTTCGCCTCAGTACATATTCGTAGCTGTTTATGATCTGAGACGTGCACCATCGGAGTGGCGTCAAAGAAAGTCCGCTCGTGACACATCACATGTATAACGCACCCAGTGATTTCTCTACACACACCACAGAATTATCATACTAAACATATGGCACAAATACTCCAGTTGGCCCAGAATATTCAGGTCAATAAGAAATGAAAAGTATCTGTTATTACAGTCTATCCACATAATCATTTTAGTTGGGCGATTCTTTTAGGATAGTGTGGTTCTAACCTATGTGCATTTAGATCAATGACCACGTCCCTTGTTATACCTGGCCTGCTTGTAGCGTAGCAATTGATATGTGGCAGTTGAGCGACAAGATCTATAGAGCTAAGCTTGGGAAAATAGACGTGTAGGCGAAACAAAATAGCCAGAAGTTTGATTACACTTGGGACTGGCTCTGCGTACAAACGTAGCGGACATGGTATCAATAACTGTGGAACTGTAGCCAGGAGAATGAAGTAGCAGCGTCAGAATTGGAAAGCAACCCCAAAAGCCTGACCCAAAGCTTTCCAAGTTGAGCCGCAGGTCTTCTGCTATTTGTTATCACTAGTACTGATACAACTACATGGTCGTTGAGTTGGAGAAGGAAGGGGTATAGGCTAGTTTTGGTCGTTTTTACAGGTTGTGAATTGAAATCATGGTTTTCAAGGCACCACAAAAAATAACCACTTATTTTGATATCTAGCCTATCATTCTAAATTAGGTTAGCTCCTGGTAGATCAGAAAAGAGGTAGTTGCAGACCTCATTATTCCTCAATCTAGAGGTATACGAGCTAACCTGATAACGATGGAAAGACCCCAACAATTAATCAATTGATCATCTTTGATACTTGAACCAATGATTCCAAGATTTTAGATTGATTCTCTCTAAACTTTACCAGAAACGTAAAAATTGCTTCCAGTACGTAAGCTACATAACGACAAGGGTTATTGGCTACCACTCGTTCATTGCTTGACCGGTTGGTGTCCCGGCCTTCCCCGCAATTCGCCATTCACAATAGTGGGATTAGGATGTGTCTATGCTCAATGCCTGCATGTACCTACGGTGTCACGACTTCCACACTGTTGATTGGTGGCAGAAGAGGAAGGTAGATGTTTACCACATATAAATATTGGTTTCTTGGCACCTTCGCCATCCAAGATACCACTGTGCCGAAATCACAACGGCGCCGTCCGCAGATTGAGTTAATTGGTGAGATTTTAGCGAACTCCATATTATTAGGTTACGGTCTGAATTGCAGGTGATAAAAGTCGTAGGGATGCAATTCCAGCAACAACTGTGCCAAGACACATCATGTAACCTTTATTTGAGGAAAATCCAACACCGGTTCCCACGACCTCATAAAACATTGCTTGAACCAGATTGGCGTGTAGTATGGGAATCATGCGATATCTTCGCGAAGAAGATCAATTATGTAGGGAAATAACAAAACACCACAACTCCCCCCATAAGATTATTTATCTACTCTTTGCAAAATTTTAAACGACCAGTTTGAGACACACCCCAACAGGTATATCTGCCACGGCTAATCAAGGACACAGAATTGATTGTTCTGCATCTCTTGAAAATGGCCCTGTATCTTTTCATAGGGCCGGGAGTGGTACTCACGGCGGGTGTGGTATTTCCAGTGGTTGGAGCAATACTGATGGCATTACGGACAAGGTTAAAGATCAAAACGTCGCAGAAACTTGGGATTGAGGACTGGCTGGTTGTTCCCGCCTTGGTATGTGCGAACGTCTACATCCTTCAACATCGGCACTAACTATGCCCCACAGGCTCTCATGGTTGGGATGGGGATAGCCACAATCATTGGTACGCAAAGCAGAGCTATCAACCGAGTTTAACTAAGCTAATTCGAAAAAGGAGTTTCCACAAAGTCCGTAGGCTATCCTATACCTCCAAATTCGGAAATAGCGTATCACTCAGTGCGGCCTACATACACTAGGACCAAAGCTGCTCAGGTAGAATACCGTCCAGCTGATATGTGTGTGTGTTAACAATTTTAGGTCTTCTGGAACATAGAATGGATGCAACCTTTGGCTTTGGGATGTATAAAATCAAGTTTCATTTTTTTCTATCGCAGGATATTCAATGTCGGCCCCCACAAAAGCGTTTTCAACGTTCTCTCCATTGTCGCCGTCGTGATTATGGTAATCTGGATGTTGGGATTCTTCCTCGCAGTAATGCTCATATGCCCTGGTAATGTTCCGGCATATTGGGGACCTTCAGCTGGCAGAGCGAAGTTTTGCTGGCCGACCACGAAATTCCTTTACACTTTGTGCTGGTCCGATGTTGCGACAGATTTGATTGTTCTTGTGATGCCTATTCCATCAGTAGGTTTCAACTACTTCTACTCGTTTAGTACCTTGCTAATGGTCGTCACAGGTACTGAAGCTACGTTTGCCCACACGAAAAAGGTCGCACTTCTCGGCGTTTTTGCTGTTGGAGCGGTGTACGTTTTCTTGATTTAATTTAACTTTGCATTGCTGACGTGTTATAGAACTGTGGCCGCTTCTATAGTCAGGGCGGTATTTTACTTGAGACTTCTCAGCGGTATGTTCGTTGCTGTGCTCAAAGAGTAAATTAATGAACTAACCTTGTCGCAGCCGAAAAGGTCATTGCTAGTACCCTCGACCCGAACAGTAAGTGCAAAGTCATATTGCATTTCGAAATGATCATTGACCATTGATACTAGTGCTCAACACAAATGGCATATATTGGATGCTCATGGAGACTGGCTTGGCTTTGATTGCTGTGAATCTTCCTCTACTTTACGGCTCCGTGAAAGACGAGGGTGTAGAATCAGTTGTTCGATCCGTGCGGAGTTTTGCTTCTATTGTTTCGACTAGCTCGCGAAGCAGTTCCAAGCAAAATAAAAAGGATGCTACTGCACACAAAGCCAGTGGAACCTTAGACGGGCGAGAAAGCATTGAGCTGGTCCCAACCGCGTTTGTCGCGACGGCTAAAGCAGCACAAAGTGAGTCTTTAAGCAATGTCGACGTAGAGACTAGCAACATCAAGGTCACAAAGTCATACAGCACTGATCGAAGGGCATGAGAAACGAGTGTCTACCTGGTTTGGAAAGCAAAGACAAGGAGTACTCGGCAACGATGTTCTATGTGTTATATAAGGCTTCAAAGCTCTATAATGCAAATCTTCCCCAAGTCTGGTTCTCTATTTTATGTAAATGTTTGATCGTGGTCACTTATTGTACTTCGCGCATTTATTTCAAATTCTCCGAAGACACAGGAGGTTTGCACATATATTACTGTAACTAAGCTGGATCAGTCTGTTTTCGGTTTTTCCCCCACACCAACTGCGGCAGATAATGGAATTCTGGTACCCCTATCGTACTTTACCTCCAGAAACTTCTCCATCTCGACCCTGACCTTGTCCAAATCTCCCTTGAAGCTCCCTTGTCTGTCGACCGGCATCGGATTCCCACTCTCCCAGAAGAACTTCAAAAACCCCTCCTTTCCAACGTCAAAACCAAGATGTACAACTTCGGTTTTCACATTCAAGAACCCCGATCTTTCCAGTCCCTTTTCCAAGTCCGCGCAACCAGTCCATGCCTGGGGTGTTAAAATCGGTGGAGGAACATAATTCGGATCTACTGCCGTAGCGGCCTCGTTCCAAATTGCATGAGGTCCGCAGTTTTCATCAAAATTCCAAAGTGCAATCGCAATTACACCACCTGGTTTCAAAAGTCGTGCCCATTGACCAAGGGTTCCGTCAGAAGCTGGATCTGGTAGAACTTGAATTGCCATGGTACTAAAAACGTGGGAGAACTTTCCCTCAGATGCTTCTCCGCCGATCGGAGAAGCCATGTCGACGACTTGGGTAGTGATCTGGCTACCTTTTTTCTTATCGAGAGATATCAGGGCGTCGAGCATGCCGGGTGATATATCTGTGCCAAGGATCGGTAAATTTGGAAATGAGGCGGCGAGTTGGCGAGTGAGTGAGCCTGTGCCAGCGCCGAGATCGATGGCACGCGCATCTGGTCTCGAGATAGGTGAAAGTTCTATCAACCGCTTTGCGCCAATTCGGGAACTACGTCCAACGGCGTCATTGTATTTTGCTGCTGCAGTATCCCAGATTTCGGGTTTAGCCCAGGGTGTTGACATGTTTCGAATATTAAAAATGACGAGTGATGGAGGTATCCTTTTTTTTGAGGGGCTTCTAAGCCGTTCATTTATACTTCGAGATAAGGCGTTGGTATATACCAACAATTGGCCAACCTTCAACTACCAGGGTCGGGGTAGGGCCGGTTAATGTAACGAATACTCAAACTGGCTAAATAAACTTGGCTGGGTGTTCGCTGGTTGGTATGCTATGATAAGAAGAAGACTATCGGGTTGTTCACTTGGAAGTGAACTCGTTACTTGTATCAAAGATGTCAAACTAATATGATAAGATTGATAACTAAGTTGAGCACGAAGCCCCTATCTAATGGTAGACGTGCCAGTCTTATATAGAACCTTCGTCCTCGATGTGTTCGACCCGTTCGACCCGTTCGACCCGGGTCGACTTCGTCCCAGTCGTCCCAGTCGAACCATATCACGTGATTTCCAAAATACTAAGAAATCCTTGGATCGTCTAGCTAGCCTGCTGCAGCTATCTCCTCTCAGCGTAGTGTTGTCTGAGCCCATAGTCTCAAATGTTGACTAACGATCCCGTGATCGTGACAATTATTCAACCTTAGTCCTCTTTGGCAATTGTGATATATCTCCTGGTGACCTCCTCAATTACGGATTGTATTTCCTCCTTCCAAAGACCCCAGTTATTACTAGAATCCAAAGTGATTGCCTCAGAATCTCTTATATAACGTATTCCCGGGTAGAGGACTGGGAGCCATCAAACCAAATAGTCCAAGCCCTTGCCAACTAATTGATGTTACCTTTTTAAATTAGCTATGCATATATCAAGCCAAGAATAAGAACTTACTCCGTAGGCTGGATAGGTTTTGCGAGGGTCTTGAAACAAGATTCTCCACGCGGAAAAATGAGGTGATTCTCCTGAGCACCACTTTCAGATAAAACGGCGATCATATTGGTGCCGAATACCTCCCTGATCGTATGTAGCGTCTCCCTTTCGTCTATAAGCCTTCAGGGTTAGGGTTAGGGTTAGGGTTAGGGTTAGGGTTAGGGTTAGGGTTAGGGTTAGGGTTAGGGTTAGGGTTAGGGT